CTCACCTCCACTGATATTTTACTGTGAAGATCAAATAGTTCTCATTCTTTTTCCGGTCTTCCCCTTTCTCCTTTCATTTCTCTCCGACCAAACTAACCCAACGAAAATGAGAACGGCCGAACAGCTCTCTTTAATACCAATGCAATAAATTATGGGCCAAGAATGCGGAACATCTGTACATTATGCAAATGGTATGCTAACTTTTTCTGTTCTATTCTATCCTATCAATTTGCCTAAAAAGAGTATGTTTTACAAAATTGGATAGATCAGTTGAAAAAAATCATATTTTGTACATACATTATTTCAACTTTGTAAGTGACAGCCTCGAAAACAATTTCAAAAAATAATCTGACAGCCGCCTCATCTTTGACAACACCTGAGTATTTCTGGCAAAATAAGATTGGGCATTTGACATCATTACCTCTACGTCGTGCTCTACCGCTTCAAAATTCCGATAGTAGTTGTTCACAAGCCTCAAACGGATCTGTTCAGGATATAAAGGAACTGGAAACCTGAAATAATTTTAGATAAAAATCGTCAATGCCCATGCTCACATCAGAAAACAGTCATTTTTCATATTTTAAACTAAGTTTATTTCAAATATTAATCTGAAGAAACAAAAATATAAAATAATAGAAATAAAATAAAAATTTTAATAAAGTATTATAATTCTAAATCAAAGGAGTTATTCCATTATTTAGATCTATTTTTGAATTTAGTTCAATTATTCATCAATATCTGTGAAGAACTACAAATAGAATGAAAATTAAAAAGATTTGAGCTAAACAAAGCACTTCTTATTTTTCTTCCACGTTCTAACATCAATTAAAGGAGGTGCAAATGATCAAATTGATTATATTCTCGAAAAGGTTGTGCATCTCATTCAAATCCCAATACAAACTTGAAGAGTTCAGCACAGGGGCGGTAAACGTGCAAATATCTTTCCTATTAAACTACCTATCTAGAATTGAAAAATAAAACTAACTTCTTCACTTAGACAACAAATTAAAAACTCACTGACCTAGCAACAAAATTTACATGCTCAAAATGATAATTAGTTTGGTCAGCTTTTGATCCACTTGTTTTGCTACCACCAAAGAGCTCAAAATATGATACTTCAAAGATTATTTAATTCAACTATATACCAGCCTTTTCTAATGCACCACCTATATGACATGTATCAAAATCAAACAAACGATCAAAGAGTGTT